GGATGCATGGTTTTTGAAGGGGGAGATGTTGGTCATTATAGTGGTGATACATTTTGATACTCTGTGTGTGTTGTTCTGGTGGGGTCAGGTGTCAGTTTGAGTTGGTGTCCTATTCTGTGGGGAGCTTGCCTCTGATACCGAGACTGAGAATTGGGTGGGTTATTTGAAGACCAGAAGAGGGGGTTCAGGAAAGATTTTTCAGGATAGAATCCCTGTTGAGTGGGAGCTGTTGTAATTATTTTATGGTACTCCTCTATATGGGTTCCAGTGAGGGATGGTCAGTGACAACAAGATTTGTGTGGTTGAAGAGGGTGTTCTTTCTTTACTGAAGCAAATTCTCTCTGGGTATTTAGGTGGCTCCTGTGGTGTAGTATCTATGCTTGGTGAAGGCTTTTGAGTGCATTCAGGTGTATACGTTGGACTTTCTCCTTGAAGCATATTTTGGAATATCTGCGTTCCTGATTGTCTGCAACAGATTTCTTGGTGTGTGTGAAGTAGTTACTAGATCTAGGAAGGCAAGTGTGGTGGTGATGGGTTTTTTGTATATAGTTGTCTGTCTGTAGGTTTCTATTTTGAAGCTGATCATGGTGTCCAGGAAGTTAACTGGTATGGGAGTTTGTTTCTTCAGAGGATGCAAATATAACCAATGGATCTCAGGTGGAGATTGGTTTTGTTGTATTTATCCAAATTTTTTTCTTCAAGGTGTCCCCTAAGGAGGTTGGCATATTGGGGAAGTATGCTGGTGTCAGTGGCTGTTGACACAAAATCTTCTTGTCTGGGCCTCCCTAGAATCTGGTCTCAAGGAGAATGTGAGGAGTGTGTCTTTCTTCTTCACAGTCTGGGGCCACATCAGTGAGGGTCTGTTTGGGTTATTTTGCTTCATATGTGTGCAGCCCCTGACTAATTTTTTTCCCCCTGTGGATCAGTGACCCATGACCCCAAGCAAGTTTCCCACCCCTGGTCTAAATGCTGCAGAGTTTGTGGAGGAAGTCAGTTGTGTCCTGGAGGAAGAAGGCCCTTTGTGTGGGGTGTGATTTGAGGATGGCTTCTAGGAATTCCAATATTCCTTTAGCGTGGTGGGCCCAGATATGTCAGTTACAGTAAAGTACTGTGTCTTAAAATAGGAAGGGAGAATGAATATTATTATTAAAAGAACGCTGATCTGGTCACACAGTTTAACTCCCCCCACCCTCCAAATGTCACTCTAAAGTAAGAGGAGTTTTGAATGTGATACTGCAGATGCAGAACAGCTGTTGACAATGCCTGCAGTTATAATTTATATTAATGCTGCTGGCTTTTTGACCTGTGGAATGTACAAACAAGCAAGAATTTGAGTAAAGTAACGGGAAATAGCTTTGCATCTTCTGTGACTCGGTTTCCTTTTTACCCCTCCTTCTGCAAGTGAATCATGTTGGGGAAAATTACCAGATAGTGGGGTGCGCGCTCGCTCTCTCTCTCTCTCAAATAATGATCTGTTTTTACGTTTATTGCATATTTCATCTGAGCACCTTGAAGAAACTGACAGAACTAAATTAGCTTAATCTTTCAGCAGTTTATTATAACTAACAGGTGGAAATGTGGCACAGACACCCTGGCAAATACCATATATACTCGAGTATAAGCCGACCCGAATATAAGCCGAGGCACCTAATTTTACCACAAAGAACTGGGAAAAAGTATTGACTCGAGTATAAGCCTAGGGTAGGAAATGAGGCAGCTACTGGTAAATGTAAAAAATGAAGATAGATACCAATAAAATTACATGAATATTTATTTCAAAGAAAAACAATAACCTAGCTCTGTAAGTGGAAAAGGGGGTCAACAAAAACAATATGGTATCAAAAATACCGTAACTTTAAAAGTACAACAACCTTAGCTCAATCAGCAACCAAGCTCAATCAGCTCCCCATAGCTCTTTTCCTCAGGTGTCCCGGCTTCCTAGCTGTTTTCGTGTTTTTAGCTGAGGGAAACTTGCAGATGGCAACTCCCTCTCCACATATACCATTCCCCCGACACAGAGGATAAAATATTTCCACAATCCCTGGGCAGATCCTGCTTTCCATAAGGATTTTATCCTTTCCATTCAGGCCCCTTACCTTATCTCTTCTCTTCAGCCTGCGCCGAGCCGCGCTTCTGCCTCCGGACCCGCCCCCTGCCCACAGCACAGTGACAAGCCAATCACTGGCAGTCACTGTGCAGCCAACAAGCCTATGTATGTGCGCTGTTCATCGCACATACATAGAGCTTTCAGACCTCAGAAATTGACACGAGATACTTTGATGATGAATTTACAGCGCAGTCCATAACAATAACACCTCCTGACAGATACGACAACTTGGATGCCTTAGAACCTGACCAGCGTACTCACTTTCCTCAGTTCTCGAGACGCTGACTCGAGTATAAGCCAAGGGGGGCATTTTTCAGCACAAAAAATGTGCTGAAAAACTCGGCTTATACTCGAGTATATACGGTAGGTAATAGTGAATCACTGACAGAACTGAGATTATAACCTAGTTCTCTTAAATCCCAGCCATAGTTCCCTCTAATTTATGTCCGTATGTGTAATGACTTTTGTTATGTCCACCAATATGGAAGTGGTGTGTGTGGCAAGGGCAGGTGTGAGGAGGTGGAGCGTGGGCAGGGTCTTAGGGCTGGGGCAGATGGTTGAAGTGTGGGGTGAGAGTTCTGGCTGGAAGTGCAGGCTCTGAGATGGGGCTGAGGATGAAGGTTTTGGGGTGCAAGCTGTTCTGGGGAGAGAGAACTCTCCCTGCAGCGTGTTTGCACCACAGCAGCTCAGGGCCAGGTGAAAGATGCGTCTCTACTGCCCCAGCAGCTCGAGTGGGCATGGCTGGGAAAGGGGTGCCTTGTTCCCTTGTTGGAACAGTTATGTGTGAGGACCAGTGGACAGAGGAGCCTCTGGCAGGGCTGTGGCAGCTACAGGTTGAGGCTGGCGGGCAGAAGTGCCTCTCCTCAGGCTGTGCAGTGCAGGTTCAGGGTTTGGGGAAAGGCATTTCTCATTGTTGCAGCTGAGGCAGCTTTGCGGGCCTTAGAGAGAACTTAGGTCCCAGTCCAGTGCTCTCTGATCATCTTTTGTTTGCAGGGTGATAGGGCAGTTGGTTGAACTTGAATTGCAATCTCTTCTTGACAAAACCCTTAGTTTGGAGTGGCTTAGTTGGTGTTGGTCCTATTTCAGCTATGGCTTGGACTAGATGTCTTCCTGATGTCTTTTCCAGCCCTAATCTTCTGTGATACTACTTATTTGGATTAGTGCTATGTTTAGGTCAATTTCACAGTTTAGAATTTTAAAAAAGGTAAACTTCATGAATACAGCTATTTAAATGTGAAATTTCATGGTGGTGTAATTATAGGATTCCTGACTCAAAAAGGTTGTTTCAGGGGGGAGAAGGTTGTTATACTTACTCCTGTTACTTTTCTGCTGCTGATGGTGGCAGCATTGCCTTTAGAGCTGAACAGCTGGAGAGTAGCAGCTGCTGCTGGCCAGGAGCCTGGCTCTGAAGGCAAAGTTATAGCCCATAAGGAATTAAAAGGGTTAAACAGAATGTGAAAAGCACGTCAATAAAAGGTCTGCCCTTGCGATATGTTGCTCTTCCATAAAATCCCTTACAGTTTACCATTTTTCATGGCATATGTTTTTGGAGTGTTCCCTTTCTTGTAGTGTATTATTTCTCTAGGATACCCACTGCGAGGACTAAATGGTGAATGACAATAGTTTTGAAATGCATGCATTCTTTAAATTCTAAATCTTTTTCAACAGATATTTTTTCAAAATGTTTTGCTATTAAATGATCATTTTTCATTGGTTGAAAATGGTCTCCCTCATTAGTTCTGATGACATAACTATTTTTAGATTAATTACATAATCATTGTCAAATGTTGGTTGGTAAGATATTTTAACTTCTTTTCATCTTACGTCTCCTATTAAGGGTTGAGTGTTATGTTGGGTTTAGAGCCAAATAAACTAATCTGATTTTTCACACTCTTATTTTGTTGTCCACTCCCTTCTTCGTCAACAAGATATTTTTTCTATCACTTTGACCTCAGTGCTGCACAAAAATCTAGCTTGCTAATCAGTCCACTGCAAGGCCCCGCACTACCTTTCCATCCATCTTTTCTAATGTGTCAGACCTACCATCTTGATATGTCGTGCTCGTTCCACTGCACTAACTCTTTCTTGCTCCAGCTTCAGTTCCTGATATGGACCCATCTCTTCATTTGTTGCTTCCTTAGGAATAGCCAGGATCCCAAGAGTTAATTCAAGTGCTACTTCATTAATAGTTTTGGTATATTCTAATCCTGCCACTTCATGAATTTTGGAACTTTACATACTGTACAGAGTTAATTTGTTAATTTTTTTTTAAAGTGGCAATAACCTGTTGCAACATTACCTTCAGTATCTGAGTTCTTCAGGATCTGGAAGTTTTTGTACCCTCAGGCCTTTTAGTTCTTTTCAAGATTTAAATATTCATCTTCTGGTAAGGCTAGAGAAAATACTGTAGCATTGGCATGCCAACAGTTTGCCATATAAGATTGCGTTATAATATTTGATGATATGATGGCTGTTCTTTTAAAAAAAAAAAAGAAAGAAAATCAATGAATGAAACACTATGGCTAGTAAAAATTGTGAAAAAAATCACAAATTCTGTAGTTGTATCTCAGAAGTCCTTAATAATGCATCATATCACAAGAAGCTTTAGATCTTTGATTTCTCATAATATTATAGAAATGAAATATGTTGTTGGATTATAGGTTTGAGAGTTGAAGTTGCATCTTTTCAGCAGTAGGGATAGGGCAATTTTTTTTAACAGTGTTCAGATTGTTACTTTTCAGGTTATACTGCTATATTTCATTTTGCTATATTGGTTTTGGTACTCTTGAGACCTAATCTCTCTGACATCAAGATTTATTCTCTAATTATTTAGCAACAGTTTTCTATTAGAGAGAGCCAGACCTCAGTTACTTTTTATTTTAATCCTGAACAGATTCAGATGCTGAGCAGGATGCTGCTATCAAACTTGCCCAGGAACGAGCCGAAATAGTTGCCAAGTATGACAAAGTAAGTGTCCCTCATAATAGTGTAATTTTAGCATTGACTGTTTGAAATTGAAGTGTGATCTTCCTCTCTCAAGTTCAGAAATAAATAGCTGTCTCCTAAAATATTCTGTGTGATGTTCTGTATGATGCTTAGTACAAATTAGTAAAAAATGTAAACAATGAATGGTCCCACGCACCGTAGAAACTAAGAAAAAATGTAGCTAGATTAACAAAGCCTTTTTTTCCTCCTTACTGTTTTCGGTGATGGTTTGTTGAACTTCAGATTCAGATGTATGCATGCTGCTTCAGAGCTGTTTTAAGACTTTCGTCATTTTCTCTTACTAATATTGAGGTGCCAGTTGAGTTTTATTTATTCTGATTTTCCTGCTTAGTGAAAACCTGTGTATCATTCTACAGACATTACTTTTTGAGGCCATACATACTTTAACTCTTTATTGATGTGCAATAATAGAAATAAATACTAAATCAGAAATAGCAATTGAAAAAAATATAGCCAAATTGATTTGCCATTGTCACCTATTTTATGTAAACAAAAACATTTCATCCTGAGCTGTTTTTGAACCATATGCCAAGTAAGACTGTCATATAATGCAACTGTGATATGAATGCCTGCATGTTACTCACCTATTCTCCTCACAGAATCATTGGTAGCCTTACTAACCTTATTGCTCAGTCCTCCAGTGATTCAGGAGCCAAATTATTGATTAACATTACTGAAAAGCGCCACAACAGTAGCTGGCTATAGTACTGTATTTTCATATTTACATAGTATGACGGGAAGTGTGCTCTACATATACATGCATACATACTTTCACACAAAAAATACATATTCTGCCAGCAAATAGGTTAATAACTTAGTTGATAACTTGATTGGCTAATAATAAAAGCATCCTTATTGATTAATATGGTCAAGTAAATCTCATAGTGTTTTAATTTCATGTACAGGCAGTCCCCGGGTTACGTACAAGATAGGTAACCAAACTGTAGGTTTGTTCTTAAGTTGAATTTGTATGTAAGTTGGAACTGGTACATATTGTAGGGGAAACTCTAGCCAAACATTTCTCCAGAGCTCAGTTTTATTCTCCCACATCTCACTTCCCTCAGTCCTTTATTCTCAAGCTGAGGTGTCTGCTGAGAAAAGCCGCTCCGCGTCTCCCTGGTCTGCTGGGGGGAAGCAGCTAGTGCGGGGTTGCCTCACACCGTTTGTAAGTAGGGATCCGATGTAAGTCGGATCCATGTAACCCGGGGACTGCCTGTATTTCAAAGAGTTACAGGAAAGCCACTTGCAACTCATGAGCTCACTCAGTCTAGAATATGTATGATTTTAAGAGAGTCATAGGGATTTTCTTTTCACTGACATTTGTTGTCTAGCAATAACTTTAGTACAAAGTGAGTAGTAGTAATGACTGAGAGACTTTTTTTAATAAGTGGTGCATCTGTTTAAAAGTTGACCTGGGTAAGCAATCCTAACTAGACATACTTTTCCAGATTTGTCTGAAAGTTGGTGTGTTTCTGGAGTGTATAGGCTAGGGTTAATGACTTAAGTTTAGAGTCATTTGAGCCTGGGGTTCCAGATATGAAAGTTCAGGAAAAAAAAGCGGGTAGTTGGCATCTGTCATCTTTACTTTATTTTTTATCTTATTTGTTACTTCGATTTTTTTTATTTTTACAGAGCTAGAGATCAAACTAGTGATATGACACAGGAGAAAATGGTTTCAAACTGTCATGTTTGCCCCTAGGTGGTGCACTAAATTTTTGGGTCCCCATGCTGAAAACAATATTTAAGAAAACTAGAGGGCTGAGCCTCCTGCTCACTACGCTCACCAATCCCCCTCCAGCTTGCCGTTTTCACAGCCAGAGAGCCTGTTAATCTTGCACTGAACCCAGCTGTGCTCTCCATGACCCCAAGTCACTTGCATCCTTCTCCACTCCTGCCCACCAGAGCCCTGGACGGCCCCCTGTATCCAAATATTCTTAGCCCATCCTATGCATTTGTGCCCTTCAGTTGTCAGCCAGTCCCCCCTGCTTGCACCCTTCCCACTCCAGCCCCACCTGCCATAAAATAGTCCATGGCCCACACGCCCCATCTCTGTCCTCAACTCCTACGCCCCCATTCTCCTGCCTCCACTCCTACACCCACCATCCTTCCTAACCCTTCCCCCACCTTCATTCCTACATCCACCCATCCTCTGTAATCTTTCCCCCACACTGCCTGTCCCTCCTTCCTTCATATTCCTATACCCCTATCCATTTCCTAACCCCTCCCCCTTTGCACCCCAACACTGCCCATCCCGCTGCCTCCATTCCTATATCCACTTCACTCCCACCATCCCCCCCTTAGTGCATCACCCATCCCCACATACACCCTTATCCCCTTTCTTCCCTCCCATGAACAGGTACCCTAACCAGCAAAGAAACAGCACCAGGCCCATATGCAGGAATTTGGAGGGCAGGGGGAGAAGGGCATGCTCTGGGTGCTGTGACAGCAGGATCTGGGCAGCTGCTTGGAGAGAAAGGGCAGCATAGGTGGTACTGCTGGGGTGAAACAGAAAAGGGGGGGGGTCTATGGGCAGAGGAAATGGAAAGGAGGCAGAGAAAAAGGCTGGAGGGAGGCCAGAGAGTGGGGGTTCCTTTGGGATGCCAGATTGAGAAGGTGGGAGTGCAGTCTGAGGTGCAGGGGAGGTGCCGAGGACACACCTGGAGGTTAGAAAGAGGGCTGGGGAGGGGGGCATGCAGTGAGGGAGAGTCGCCTGGTGCCACCATGCAGAGGCAGGCCACTCCCCCCTCTCCCGCTCCCACTTGGCTGGGTTGGCAGCTGCTCCGAACACTGCTGGGCCTCCCCTTTTTGATGCCTCGGGGATTGCCGGACTGCAGCAGCAGATTCCAGCAGGGCGGCTTGGTGCTGGTGCAGACACTCAGGGCGTGGCAGAGGATGGGGTCGCAGGCAACTGGGGATGCAAGGTGCGGAGCCTCACTCTGTTCCCGGTGTGAGTGGGCCCTGCCCAGGCCTTGCACCAGATGAAGCAGCTATCGGGGCCGGTGGGACTGAGAGCCCCTGCCTGGGAGGAGAATGGCCCCTGTTCCCACACAACAAGCCAAAGCTCAGCCTGCCCCACACATGTGGTCGTGCACCACAGGCAACTGCCAGAAATGGACATGGTGCAGCAGTTGCTTTCTGTGACGTAGTGGGGGTACCTGGCTGGTTTCTATGCTGCTGGCTCTGGGGTAACCCCCACTGGCTGCCGTGGGTACCATGACCCAGCAAAACAGGATGAGTCACTATGCAAACGAGTATGGCCAGCCACCCCCATGGAGAGGAACAAAGGAAGGTGGAATGCTGCCCTGGCTGGGGGGCAGGGCTGGAAGAGGGTTAGGTAGTTCCTGGCTGGAAGGCAGGGAAGAAGGAGCTGGGGAGGGGGGCTGGGACTCCCCTATCTCAAGGGGGGCACTGAGGCCTCTTAGCCCCAGTTCCTGTAACCAGATTACATCTGTGCTGCACTGTGCTGGAGGAACAATAAACAACCTCCATTCTACTGGCTGGTGAAGTCTGTTCATGCCAATTCGGGGGTGCAGGAGATGGGAAAATCCCGACGCGCCGTCACACTTTCCCTGAGCAGAGAGCTGTCAGGGCTGGCCCAGCACATAGCCAGCACTTTCATTCGGCCTCCAGGCCCCGTGCCACTTCCCCCTGTGGACCTGCTCCTGTGTGGCGCCTCAGGCCCTTTGGCCTGGTAAGGCCCCCAGCATCCCCAGGTCCAGACACCTCGGAGTTTCTACCTGGGGTCTACCCTGCGAGCAATGGCGGTGGCACAGACCCTTTCCCTGCAACAGGCTGATCTGGAGCAGTGTCCAGGCCCTGGATGGAATTGCTCCCTGCTTCGGAGACTGTTCGGGGACAGGTGGGGCTGCTAGGCAGCTTTGATAGGGCAGACTCCACCTCCCAAGGGTCCTTCCTGCTCAGCTCTGGACGCAGCCTTTCAGGAGGCGGAATCTGCCCAGGCTGCCAGGTGGCTTTGCCTGTCCCCGAACAGTGTCTGGGGCGGGAAGTCCATATGAGGGCGGAGCCTGTGGGGGACAGAGTGATGTGATGACATCACCCTGTCATTCCACAGGAAATTTATGTATGATTTTTTTAGTACTACAGGCAGTCCTCGACTTACGCGGATCCGACTTATGTCGGATCCGCACTTACGAACGGGGCTTTCTCGCCCCGGAGGTCGAGGTGGC